GTCCATGTCACTCTGAAAGCAATCAAGGGCAATGCCCTAGCAGATTATTTAGCACATGGACCAATAGACGAATATCAATCGTTGCAAGATGAATTCCTAGATAAGGAAGTCTTAGCCTTGGGCAAGGAAAAAGATGGACATATTGATGGCAAAACCTAGACCATGTTCTTTGACGATGCATCAAACTTGATGGGGCATGGAATAGGCACCGCACTAATCTTGCCCGAGAATAAGCACATCCTAGTTACGGTAATACTGGATTTTGATTGTACAAATAATATGGTTGAATACAAAGTGTGCATATTGGGCCATTATGTCGCTCTTGACAATGATATCACTAGATTGAAAGCATATGGGCCTTCATGTAATAAACAAACAATATAAAGGGGTAAAAATTCAATTACACCTTATTTTGCTAGATTTGTTACTAAATGGGTCTAAAACTCTTTTAGCTTCCTCAGTGAAGTCGCCATTTGTTGGAATCCGAAAGATAAATTCCGACACGGCCTCGCAGCTAACAAATGGTTTGGACATCTATTTGAAAAATCTCATCAACTTCGGATTGTCCGAAGATCGGACTAATCCTCTGACCAATAATTTTGAAAATGGTTCAAAGGAGTCGCCACCAATAATTTACACAAAATATTAGAAAAAGGAAATTGTTTTCGCAAATATTTCACTTTTACTAATATTTTAGCATATCTAATGTAAAGGCATGTGTATTATATGTAATTAAAATTTATAATAAATCATATATGTAAATAAATACTACATTTGAATATATAAACTATATCTAAAATTAGTATACATAAATATTTTTAAACATATAAATTATATTTTAGATTTATGATAAATAATTTTTATTATAACAAAAAAAAATATTTTTTTATTGATATTTATTTTAAAATATTGATATTTAATTTTATGAATAATTATGATAAATAAAAATTAAATTAAATAAAAAAAATTTAAAAAAAATTATAAATCCTCTCATTGAAAAAAAAAATCCTAAAAATGATAAAAGTTCATATTTAATATATAAATATTGATTTTTATTTTTTATTTAGATAAAATACATAAAGACACCAAGTACTTCGACAATACTTGTAATTTATAAAACAACAATATATTCAAGAGATGAGCGAGAAATACTAAAACCAGTACCAACAATTAACAATAATTGTCATTATAAAATGATATTTTTTACCGACTATTATATATTGGTACAAAATCTTTAGATTAAGGAATAAATTAGTGGCAATCAGATCATTTTTCGTTGTATGGATCCAATTAAATTTAATTGGGTCAAATAAAAAATAGAACAAATCCTATTCAAACCGATCAATAGAGTTAATGAATAAAAATAACATATTATAAAGGGATATCAAAACCTTCAATCACTTTTTGATTTTTATTTTATTAAGAGTAATTTATTCCTCAAAACTTCCACTCACTTATTTCATTCCATTTCTTTCCTCTTTCATTTTTGTTATACCGATCCAATTAAATTTAATTAGATCGAATAAAAATAACACGCAAATTCAATCTAATGATCTACAGAGTTGATGAATAAAAATAAAATAAGCTCTCTTTTTAAAAATATACTTCTCTATAATAAAAAATGCCTATTTGGTTGCTTAATTAAGTTTATAACTAATGTTAAAATTGATTCACGTTCACTAATGAAAGCATCTACTTCTGCTAACTTGTTCTTTGGGGGATTTATTCCTCTAATATATGAAGCGTCAAAAAAAAAAAAAAAAAAAATCCAAAAAAATTTAAATTATTTGATATGCATGCTTAACCACAGCAAACCTATAACCCCAAGTGTGTGGTTCAGTGGTAGGGGTTGATCCACGCTTAAGCAAGGTCAGGGGTTCGAATCCTGTCTTGTGTATGCAGCTGCGTTAAATTTTGGGGTCAGCTGTCGGCGGTAGATACTCCAGGAACGAACCTAAAAAAAAAAACCACAGCAAACCTATATGAATAATTCCATTCAGTTTTGCATTTTTGAAATGTACGTAAATGCATCAATTTCCATCTAGCCTCTTTTACTCTTAATTGTCTCGAAGCAACTCTCTTCTCTTTAATATGCAACCTTTGAAGGTGCACATAAATGATATAGGATCTCATTCTAAGTTATATTCTTTATGGAGCAAGTTTGTGATTTTATGAGATTATAGAATTCTACTTTAGTGAAAATAACTACTTAAACAGGTTTTTTGGCGTTAGAGATGAAATTCTTTTAGTGGGCCTTTGCTAACTTTTAATTTAGTAAATAAAATTTTGGATCAAATTGGGTATGGCATGTCATTGACTCCTTGTCCGATAATTATGATGCGTGTTATCTCCTATTTATTATTTTTACTTAAAAAAAAAGAGGTTAAATTATATTTGTAGTTCCCTTATTTATTTTTAGGATTCAGTTTAGTCTCACTATTTTTAATTTGGCCATGTAATTTAAAAAGAATCAATGTTGTCTAACATTTAAATTAACATTAACGACGTTAATTAAATTATAGATAAAAAAGACAACATTGAACTTTTTTTGCAAATTAGATGACCAAATAAATTAAACATTTTAAAAATAGTAAAACCAAATTGAATATTTTAAAAAATAGTAGGATCAAATTGAATAATAATTTATCTTACAATTTTTTGTCTAGATGAATTTGGATTTTTTTTTTACTTACCTTAACAAGATCATGAATAACAATAAATTGAGTATTTGAAATTAGAAAAACAATGATCACAAAATGAAGAAGTTATCTAATAAAAGATATTATTAGATACGTAAAATAAAATATAAATGTATCTAGACAAAAAAAATTAGATAAATTTTTTTCAATTTAGTCCCTTTATTTTTGAAATATGAGATGTTCAATTTAGTCTCATTATTTTTAAATGAATTAATTTGGTCATTTAATTTTCAAACAATGTTTAATTTTATCCGCTTGTTTAATTTCATTAACGTCAATAATGCTAATTTTGATGGAATGATAACATGGAATGTTTTTTTTCAAAATTAGAAGACTAATTTAAATTATTTAAAGATAGTGAGATTAAATTAAATTTTAAAAATAAATAGATGGTCAAAAAAGTGAAAAGTTTTAAAATCTTAAAAATTTTAATATAACTTAGTGAGAAAAAAAAAATGCAGCCTTTCAGTTTCAACTTTCAAGGGACCATATCTTGTTACTCTATAAAAAAAAGTGCTATCCATTAAAAATAATCAATAATTAAACAAACGGCAGTTTAACCAAACCGGCACGGCATCCTACAATATAAGTAATTTGGAATTATTTCTAAAAAACATATGATTTTTGAACACTAAAAACAAAATGCCAGGAAAAAAATATTTAGATGTAATAGTTTATATGATAAAAATATGTGTATATATATAAATTATAAAAAAAAACGTTTAATAGGTATTCGACAAAATGAGTTCAAAATTTATGACTTCAATTTTCATATGGACAATAAAAGATTAATTTTTTTTATTTTATAAACACCACAGTAGATTTTCTGTCACTTTCAATGAAGTTTTTAATTTGGTAAACACAGTTAAAAATTAAACCTCTCATTCAATACGACAAAGAAACACAATTATCTTCCAATTATTTTATAATTATTTTAAACATGAACAAATACAATGACTATTCCAAATATTGGACCTTGAACTTATCGACTCTTTGTTGGGCTTTTTGACGAAACTGGGGTTATTTTAAAAGTTTATTACGTAAGTGGGGTTGTTTTAAAACTATTTACGCCTTTGGGGCTATTTATAACGGTGTCGCTATGGGCCATAGCGACACCGGTGACACGTGGCATTTTTTTTTTTTGGTCTTGGTTAGCTGGAATGAGCCACATAAGTGTCGCTATACCCCATAGCGACACTCTGTAAATAAAAAAATAAAAAAACAAAAATAATAGAAACGTAAAATAAAAATAATAAACTGAAGTATTTATTATATATTTATAAAAAGAAAATTAAGCTTTATAAAAATATAATTTTAAATTAAATTATATGTATTTTTTTAAGAGAGGCGCTATGGGCCATAGCGACATGGTGTCGATATGGGCCACAGCGCCACACAATATGTAATCCTGAGTCCTGAATATGATATGAAGTTGCAAATTTTCTATGAATTCTAAAATTATATTGATTGATACTGATGTGGATGGGGCCTATATCTGACTCTGCTACCGACGTTTTTCTTTAGATACCAGGTAAAGTATACAGGAAATGCTAGCAAAATGAACCCCTGCGTGGAAGATGAAAGCCAAGCAAACTCTTAGTCTTGTATAAGAAGATAAATCAAAATAAATGATCAAATTTCAAATTAAAAGTGGCGCTGTCGCCTACAGCGCCACAGCCCACTATATTTTTGTTTTTTTTTAAATTATTAAATAAATTATTTTTAATTATATTTTAATTTATTTACGAATATCATAAAAATATGTATTTATATATTTAGCTATTTCTAATTTTTCTTTATTTTTTATATATTTATTTTTTTATTTACGTTTTTAAATTTTTAAAATAGGTGGCGCTGTGGCCTATAGCGACACAGTGTCGCTATAGGCCATAGCGCCACTGTATTTTTGTTTTTTTTTTAATTATTAAATAAATTATTTTTTATCACATTATAACGGTGTCGCTATAGGCTATAGCGACTTTAGTGAAACTATTTTGTGGCGCTATAGGCTGTAGCGACACTATCAATATGGCTTTCATGGCTTTCGTGGAGTTTAAAAAATGCCACGTGTCACTAGTGTCGCTATGGCCCATAGCGACACCGTTATAAACAGCCCCAAAGGCGTAAATACTTTCAAAAGAACCCCATTTACGTAAAAAACTTTCAAAATGACCCCACTATGGTCAAAATCTTTGTTGTGTCTCACTAGCTAAACAGTGAGGCATGGCCGGCTTAGTATATGAAAAACAAATAAATAGTGATGACCATATCTTTGGTTATATACACAGTTCAACTCTTCATATCATATCAAAGTTGGTTCCTCTCTGCATACCTCAATTATCTTCTCTTTGTCCAAAAGAAAATCTTAGCCTAATAACAACCTTAGCCATATATGGAGAACAATATTAAAAAAAAGAGACCTATGTGTCTCTTGGATTTGCCTGAATCGACCTTGGATTTCATTCTGAAGCTCCTTTCTCCAATAGATCTTTGTAAAATGTCAAAGGTGTGTGTCTCTTTAAAGGGTAGGTGTCAAAGTGATGACTTTTGGAAAACAAATATCAAAGAGAAATGGGGTAGAGTGATTGGTGAAGCTGTTTATAAGGAGTGGGAATGGCATATAACAATTGCCAAACAAGGAAATTTGTTGAATCAACGAACCAATAATCAAATTGGGTCACTGGGTTCTTTTAATGGTGTTTGGCCAAATCTACATCTTCGTTCATATTTGGAAGATCACAAGGTCCTCAATGGTCAACGGTCAAACAACTTCTTCATGTCTTTGTATTTCTCTCTAGACAGTGGCATCTTCTGGTTTCCTGCTCAGGTCTACAAGGTAAAACTTGCAACTGGCTTTTTAATTTGTTAGTGAGTCATTTTATTAATATCATGTATCTTTTTATTGTAATCAATAAATTTTTTCTTTGCAGGGGCTAATGGTTCACAATGCGTTGGTTAGCTATGACTCTCAATCTGATACTTTTCAAGCAAGGTATATGTGCAAAAAGTTTATTTATTATATGTATTATGGGTGTAAATTTTGGTTTGCTATGCACACTCACACACATATTTATTTGTTACATATTGTAAGTGGATCAAAGTGGAAGTTTTCTTTGAATTTAATATATATGTGAGTGCAATTATTTTTTATATAAACATTTGATAAAGTTTTATTATTTTATCATATCATTTTTTCATTAATTAATATGGTTTAGTAAGAGGATGAATTGTTATTAAATATACATGTGCAAAACAGATTTATATTGACGGTGCATGTAAATTAATTTTTCTTCATATTTATCATAAACATGTCATAAATAAATGTGGAATATCTTTGAAATATGTAACTGAATATTACTGAATATTATATATATATATATATATATATATATGAAGCTTTTATAGAATTTTCTATATAATTTACTTTATGAAGTGTATATTAGGTGAAAGTGAGAGTAACTAATATTGACCATATATACAATCAAAATGAATAGTTTAAATAAGATTTAAGTGAGAAACAAATGTCACATCTAACGATTTTGTTTTGATATACTTCTTAATAAATATTTATAAGTGAAAAAAATAAATATTTTAAATCAATGAAATTTTTTTCACACGTTAAAATCAACTTAAAAAAATAAAAGACTAAATTTTACTTTTGATCTCTCTATTTTTGTCAACCTCCAATTTTGATACCTTTATTTTAAAATAGAAACACTTAGTCCATCTATTTTTATAAATACAAAATTTTAGTCCTAATATTAATTTAATATTTATTTATCATTAAATTTTAATATTATTTTGTGATGTGATTTGTCATCACTTAACTAACATGATATTAATTAACATGATATTTAGTGACATGACATATATAAATAAAAATTAAAAAAATAATATAAAAAATTCTCATTGATATCTATTTATAGGTGATTAATTAGTATTTATTTTATTAATAAAAATCTTATTTATGTTTTTTTATTTTTAAATATTTTGTTATTAAACTCATATCACTTAAGTATAAGTTAAATATTAAAGTTTAATGATTAGTAGATGTCAAATTGACAAGATGGTCAAAATTCTATATTTTTTTAAATTAGAGGAACTAAATATCTCTATTTTAAAATAGAGAGACCAAAATTATAAATTGATGAAAATAGAGGATCAAAAGTGCAATTAGTCAAAATAAAATAAATGAATGAATCTTTAAAAAAAAGATTAGAGTACATAAATTAATTTTTTTTAAATCATAAATTAATTTTAACTCAATAATTTAAAATTTTATATTATTTTATTATTTTCTTTTTCTATAAGTGGTTATATATTTTATCCAACCACAATTTATATCTAAAATTTCGAGAGCAAAAAAAAATCTAAATTTGGATGGTTAATGACCTTTTTCCTTTAGCAAAACAGTTCATTTCCCTACCCTAT